TGGGAGGAGGGACCAGGGCGTGCGGCTACAGCTGTGCGGCCCCAACCTCGGCTCCCGGACCCAGGCCTCACCTGCGAGCTCCCTTCACCAACTTTACCGCACTCGGCCTGCCCTTTGCAGTTTGCATTACAAGCAATCTGTTTGGAACCTCCTTGGTTATGTATATTAAGTCTTAATATATACACATCTATTAATTACATATATGTCCCGGCGATGAGAACTCAGGGAGTTACCCAGACCCCTCTCAGGAACATTATTTGCACTTGGCCACCTGTCTAGGTGTGACACTGACATTCACCGGGGACCCAGGAAAGGTAATTGTGTGCACCTTATTCTTTAAACCTTCTTAAAAAAAAAAAAAAAAAGTCTATATTCTCTTGAGGTTTGTACTAACTAATTGATTTTAATGAAGCTTCCCCCTAGGCCAGAAGAAAATCTTAGCTTTATTTAAATTTCAAAATAGAGTGCTTGGTTGTCAAGTGCATTTGCCTGTGTTTTACATATGTACCACTTTTGTTATGTTCCCTGCTCCTTTTGGGAAAACAAAAACTAAAATAATTTTATTACCCCAAAGTACAGAAGCCCACTGCACACACAATACCATCTCAAGTCTGCTAATAAATCCATCTTTGTGTTTCTGCCACAGCAGAAAGGACAGTGCATTGGTTAGGGCTAGAAGGAGTGGAAACAAAGTCAAGGGACACATTTACTCTTCATTTAAAAGTGAAACAATTCGTCCAGTCAATCAAGATTACACTATCCTATGAGCATTTAAACCATAACGTTAACTAGTTAAGTACTTAGGTTGAATCTGGTAGCTTCCCTGAAATCCAGCATTTTACTAAGAATCAATTACCTTCTTGTCCTCAGCCACCCCCAGTTGCAGTCATTTTTTTACCTGTAAAGTGTATGTTGTCTAGTAGCACTTTTCAAGGTGCCTAAGAAACATTACCAGCAGTTTATGAACCAACAGTACATTTTTATTAATATATGCAAACTGAATTTACCATTTTTCCTCAGGGCAAATTTTACTTACCTCTGGTGCAGATACATGGAAATCTGTGCATTTCTGCCTTTCATATGAGATGCATGATCATGATCTTTTAGATCTGGAATATACTCTGACTGTCAGAGTCACTGATTTTGTAGATGTGGTAAACTAAGACCACTGGCACCAGCAAGTTCTCCCCAAGTCCACACAGGCAATCTTCTCTCTAAATGCATCGTGCATTTAGTAAGGCATTGATAGACTAGATGGAAACTAGTATTCCTTCCTCCATAAACTACATGCATTTCTTGTGTTATTTCTAATTATAAGATGGCTAAGGCCTTTCATGTGTTCAGAGTAAAGGCACATATAGCGTTTCTGTAGCTGCAAAGTTTTACAATCTGACCATCACAGACTCCTTCACATGTGGCATTTTCTTCTCTTGCTCATCTCTTCTGTCCTCCAGCTCACAAGGTGATAAACTTGTGCTGAGATGAGATTTGGGTTGAGTGGGGCTGGAGCCTGGACAGCTGTGTCATGGAAGTTCAGCTTGGTGCCAAGAGTGGTAACCTGGGCCCAGTTGAAGGCTGAGGCAGGGCTCTGGTGGGCCTGATAATGAGCCAGAGACCTGGTTGGCGGGAGACTGAGGCCAAGGCCAGACAAGAGTCCAAAGAGCAGAAGTTAGAATTCTAGATCTTGAATTAGAATTTTGGCAGCTGTGTAGAGCATTCAGCTGCCCAATCTGGGAAGGCCTTCAACTGAGAGCAGACAGAATAACTGGCAGACATACTCCATACTGAATGACATGGAAATGCAATGCAAAAACTTCAGCCAAAAAACAGGGTCAAAATGGCCTCCCCTAGACAGGAGAGTTAGGCACCCCCACTAGGCAGCATCTGGGGAGCACCAAGAGCTTTGAAGAAGTAGCAACTCTGCCCTCTGGAGAAAAAGCTGTCTGTGTAGAATTATTAACTCCAGAAAGAGTGTGAAGAGTCTCCATGGTGGTTCAGGCAACAGCTCAGAGATGGAATGTGCCAGAAATGTGCAGGTGAAAGATGAAGGAAGTAAGGGGCTTGAGTTTCACTAATGCATGACTCTCCACTACCTGCTATCAGTTTCACTGTGCCCTATGATAAAACCTTGGAAGCCCAAATTAAACAAGTAATTTTTTTTCAATGAAATGAGCCAGAATAGCTTACAAAATGAATAAGATTTTAATTTTTAAGACTTAAAATTATCTTCTGTAACTTGGATAGTTATTAATATTTTGTTAATTAATAATTAATTAATATTTGAATCAGTTTCTTTTGCCTGAAATAACCCACCCTACTACTTCTTCATAATGATCGAAGGTTTGCTTATGTGACATTCTGCTCATACTATTAAAAACAAAAAAAATTCATGCACTCTTGGCATTTCTGGCTTTCATATACGGTACATGATCATGATCTTTTCGATCTGGAAGATACTATGGCTGTCAGACCCACTGATTTTGTAGATGTGGTAACTGAGGCCAGTGGTCCCAAGCAAGTTCTCCCCAAGTACACACAGGCAGTCTTCTGTCTATATTCATAGTGCATTCAGTAAGACATTGGCAGAGAATAAAGAGAAAGACAAAAATATAGTAACCACAGGGAAAATTTTTAAAAATTGCTTTATAATGACATGCTCAACCCTTGTGTACTTACATTGTAAAATATTTGTTCCAAGGGTGTTTCTTGAGATAAAGTCAACAGCTAGACTATAAAAATATATAAAACAAACACTTCAATTTATTATGTCCAAGAGGAAGGGATAACTGATATACTTGTGTACTTGCAAAAAAACTTTTATCTGTCTGATTTGGGGAGTAAAAATGTTTCAGAGAAGAGGGACAGTGAAAGAACTGAGAAATCAGAAGGTTAGGATAGAAGATAGGGACCAGAAGCTTTATATGAGTTTAAGAGCCTTTGCTTGGAAACCTCTGCCTCTCCCCGGAGCACAGTGCCTCTCAATGTGTAGGTCCAAACAAAGTATGGATGTATAGTGGCCTCAAAAGTATGGATGTATAGTGGCCTCATCGTATGGTACTTAACATACAAATGATTTGGGATCCAGTAACAATCTACCCAAATTCAGCATGCCCAGCGTCCTCCAGATGGGGCAGACATGAGGGAGGTGTGAATCCATTGGTCTAACAGAGCCAACTGAAACCACCGAAGGATTCTGCTTCATACCACTTTCTGACTCTACATACAGGATTCGACTTATTTCAAGATACACTGGGTTTTTTTGGTTTTTGTTTATCATAGAGACAGGATCTTTGTATGTTACCCAAGCTGTTCTGGAACTTCTGGGCTCAAGCAGTCCTCCTGACTCTGCCTCCCAAAGTGCTGGGATTACAGGTATGAGCCACCATGCTTAGCCTTTTTTATTTTTTTAATTTTGGGGCCAAACTGATAATCAAAACCATGCACTTCGAGTGCCCTGTGTGGACATCTGTTAACATGCAAGAGGATCTGTATGAACATTGGATTCTGTCTTGAATCTAACTCTATACTGCCTTCAACTCTAGCTTTCTCTGGCTTTGTGAGTTGTTTTCCAAGTCCCGTTAAGGCATTTTTCAGGTTTACTAGATATAAACAGGCTCTTAAGTGGCTTGGGAGCTTTCTTTTTATTGCCACCACTATGTAGACTGGTTCATCATGATTTCAGGTCTTCAACTCATGCAAGTCTATGGCCACATGCAGTGATGTCTGCTGCTCCCTGGCTCTTGAATGATGCTAAGGCTGCGTCTTCCACCAATAGCAACCCTGGCCTCAGCAGGATGTTTTCTGTAGGCCCCACCTTCTTCCAAGAATAACGATGTCTAGTCCAGATTTTCTTGTTTAGTATTTATGCAACCAAGTCCTTAAGTTCTTTGTATTGATCTTATTCCAGTTTAGAAATGAATAATCTTTATTTGCTCTTTACTGATTAATTCTCATTTTGTCCCCCAGTCTGATTTTCCCTGGGATTAAGAATTGGCCTTGGAATAAGTAATGGGGTTCTCTTGTCAGTTACTACCAGTGACCAATCCTCATGAGCATAACTTCCAGTTCTCCACCTGGCTACTTCTGCCCTACAAACTACATACATTGCTATGGCATTTATTCTCCAGGTCCTCGCAGCTCTTTTCCAGAACTAAAGTAATAAAATACCAGCCAAAATGACTGCAGTTCTAATGGAGCATCCCAAGTTCATTCCCCAACTGTCACCCGCCACCCAGAGGATAACTCCAAACCCAGATATGATGGGAACCACTGTCCAACTGGAGTTTAGAATAAGGTTCAAAGGAGCAACTAAGCAATCACTATTTCATGTGTTCCTTTAGCCTATCTCAATTGAGCATCTATTCAAGGCTCCTGTTACATGACTCCAGAAGGCTCTGTTTATATAGACAACTGTGTGAACGGACCCCAGGATTTGTGCAGCGCTGCAGTCCAGTTTCACTGCACAAGATGCGGGGGATACGATTTGAGTAAGGCACCAGGTGCTTTGCAAGATCCTCCTGAATCCATCCTAAGAGCCTGTGGGGGTGGCTCCATGGGACTCCCTGTTCTGTCCTCTTGACAACTCTGGTTTCTGTTGTTTCCCTCCTTTCCAGCTTCGGCTCACTTGGGTGATAACTTGTATTGCTGTTGACTGT